AGGCTCTATTCACTATTTTTAAATGTCTGATAGTATTTTAAAATTGTGTTAAGCGCTTACAGATCTGAGCGGACATTAAATAAATGCAAACAGCAGAGAGTGAGCTTACTTGCCAAAACACTCTCAAACCACATTTTGTGTTATTCAACCTATCCCAGATGAGAAACAGTGGCAGCTAGAAAAGATACACTTCTGGTTATAAGAATACTTAGCCCCGCTACTACAGATGGACTCAGGATGTCAATATCTTGTGATACTTTGAAGACTATTTCTACCACACAACTAGACTTTGGACTCAATTCACCAATGTGTTACTCCAATTTTAAACTGGTGTATCTTCCATAAAAACAATTCTGTTACACCTATGTAAAACTGGAGTAAAGTGGTGGTGAATAAAGCCTTTACTGTTAATGCTATACTTGATACATAATTATTTCATAAAACGTCAGCCTTTTGGAATATTTATGATCATTCTCATTTTTTGACATTTCAGTTACTGGGATGGAATTACATTGCTGCTGATGAAGCAATTATAAATGGCTAAAAATGTCCACTACAGGCTGCCATATGGTATTCATATATTAGCATTACTTACCTTTGTGCTACTATGAACTACACTTGGTTACAGCCATTATACATCTATTATTCCCTGCACTAATACTAGAGTGTTTAAGTGTTCCAGCCACAATTTCCTTTCAATGTAATAGGTCATATTAATCATAGGTGATAAGGAGATATATTTCAGTAAGTAAATATTAGGCCAGATCCTCAGCTGGTATACTGGTATAGTTTCTTGGAGGTCAATGAGGCTATATCAATTTACACCAGCTGAGGACCTTGCCCATAATTTTTAATACTAAGAATAAAGCATTTTTTTCTATCTATAGTGCCTTTCATCCAAAGATCTCCAAGGGTTTTACAAATCTTAAAGCGTCACAACTCACTGGAGATAAGTATTATCACCATTTTAAATTTGAGGAACAGGAGGCAGAGAGGTTAATTGATTTGCTCAAGGGCACTCAGTGAGTCAGCAATAGTGCTGGATACAGAACGCAGAACTGCATCATTACCTGCCCTGTGCTCTAACCACTGAACAATAATTCCTCCCTCATTGCTATTAGTTTTAGCTCATTGTTTCCCAAAGATTCTCTATTGTGGATACAACTTCAGCTTCCAAAACTTGTGCTCACAGTTCTCTGCAGGCAGAACGGTAAGAACTTTCACCTGCAGATATCTGACTGCAGGCAAGAAATTATTCCAGTGGGAATAATGGTTTACAGGCTTAGGTGCCATACTCTACTAAAATATATCCTCTGTCCTGATAGGAAGAAAAGGTAACCCTTGGCTTCAATACCAAGTAGACAATTAGGTGCCCGTGACTTCACATTTATTAGTACTGAATGTCATCTCATTGCAAGACTGTTCCCTTTTACTTTTTGGGGGGGGGGGGGTCACTACACATTTGCCACCCCTCTAATTTTATTACCAACAAATTTGATTGCTGCCAAAGCTTACTGTGCGAATTGCTGAAGAATTAGTTCTTATGTGATATAATAACAAGATCTATCCGGTGAGAGTTAGGAAGGCAGGGACAAGCACTTCCCCAGGAACATTTAAAAAAAATCAGTCTTTTAAAGGGGGTTGGAGGTCAAGGTCTTTGAGGTTGAATGTAATTTGTCCATATATATTTTTTAATCAACTAAGTATATTAAACAGGACAAACTGCCTGCGACAGATGTGGCAATTTCCTGTAATACCCTTGAAAAACCTTACTGAACTAAGTATCTTTGGAGTATACTGTATTATGTACAAAAGTTGCGTATTCTCATGGGCCAGGATTATATTCAACTAGTAACAGCCACCTGGGCTTCTGCCCCTGCTAAGTTCACAAAGTAACTCTGAGACCCTGGATTCAGTATCCAATGGTGCAGTTTATTTACAGGCTTGTTCCCATCACCATTTCAAAATTGCAAAGAAACTGCAGAGAGGAGAGAAAGGTGCAGGAAGGGAGGGAGAGGAAAGCTATTTCTGCATTATTGTGGTGAAACTCTTTCGTGGGTTTTATTTTTTTCTGTAATATCTTCTCCTTAAAAATAAGTATGGTTGCTTAGAAAGAGTACTGTGATAACTTGTAAGGGAAGTTAATTAAAACTTTTCATAAGCCTTCAAAGAAGCAAAGTGCAAATGTCGGGAATAACATAGTTTAGGCAGGGAATCACACAACCTGGAAAAACCACAGTCAAGAGAGAAAACGATGTGGGTCTCTGCCCAAGATCAGCGACAGCTGGGGAGTGGAGAGCCTAAAGTAGACCTCCTTGCCCTGAACTGCAACACTGTTCAAACTTCATATTTAGCATCAGACTGAGTTTTCAAAGTTCAGTAGTAAACCCTGTTTTTGAGTGCAGATTCTATTCAGAATGGCTTTCAGGAAATGTGGAGATAGATACAAATCCAATGTGACCTATTAGCTGAAAAATTCTCTTATTTTTGTTATTGAAAATCTTTGAAGTGTGGGGGAGAGGCAGTGAAAAAAAAGAGAATACTACAGGTTGAACCTCTGTAAACTGGGACTCTGGTTCAGCAACATCTGTGGTCTGGTAGGACTGCGGATATTCCAGGACCAGAGAGTCCTGGTGAAGCGCTGGTGCATAGGAGTCCTGTAGGCTGGCAGGGCTGCAGGCAGTGATCTGTCAGAGGGGCTGGGAGCACGGTGCACCACAGTGGGGCTGCCGGGCAGGGCCAGGAGCATGGCACACTGCAATGAGGCTGCCCAGCACACCCCATTGGGGCTGCTCAGTGGGGCTGC